CTTCGACAGCCCACGACCGGTTTCGGTCATCTTGGGCGCTCATCAGGTAGACGCAGTCCCCAAGCTTACTTCAATCCTTTGTTCTACTTGAGACCAAATTGCACGAAATTAGCGAAATACACTCATCTACAAACAAATTTGGCGGACTGGTGCAGCACATTCAGTTGCTGCTGGGTTCCAGGTGAGTCTCCTGCAAAACCAAATCTGTTTGCGAATGAATGTGCTTCGCTGGCAGAAGAGGGTTTTGGGCAAAACGGCCGACCGGTCTTGTGCGTACCCGTATACACCAACACGCACACATACAGTCGCGCGTGGTGACTCATGTCAGACAGGCAGCGTAGCAAAGTAGCCAATAACGAGGGCGTGTTTTCTGGACCTCCAGTTAGTTATTGATCGCTCTGGATTCGGCTCTCATATTCCGGTACCGTCAAAATAAGCCACTCAGTATTTGCACAATGGAATCTATTTCTCGAAAGCTACGCCAATTTTAGGGTCGCCACTTCCTTGTGTAGAATGTCTTTGTATAATGAGCCATTATGTACATTATCTACATGAGTAATTTGTTTAAGTGAGCAAATCTTCAAGGTTATCAAGCATCACCGACTGTGAATACGTAACAGGACATCGCGAATTGCGAAAAAGGCGAATCACTTACAACTTGCTAAATACGGCAGGTCGAACGTGCCGTTGATCCTAGCGGTCAGCCGAACGAACCTAGCTGAGGCATGCGACCAGGAGCCACGATGCCTAATCAACCAGCCCAATGAAAGCTACGTCCTTCAGGCTACTTGCTGCATTTGTGGTGCACCCATTCGTAACGTAAAACAGCGTTGGTGTTTTGATTATTGGACGAACGCACAAACGCCACATAGTTATTTCACATGAATTAATCTAACGCATTATCAGATGCTGTGAAGGTTGGAAAGGATGCAACAGCGTTGCTCTCGACAAACGCGTGTGACCTCCGAAGTGAAGTGACCTCCGAAGACAGCACAGCAAGTTGAAAATCGAATGCGCGCCAAGGGAAGGCGATTTATTAAAACAAATCACGAAAAGCTGATGGTAGATTAAGGTGGTTTTTGGTCTGAGCGCGTATGCAACAAAATGCAAAATTTTGGCGTATAGAGTTTTGTTTCGCTCACAACGGTTTTGCAGAAAAAAAGCATTGTGCGTGCAAGGTTCGTCTCAGAATGGGTATTAAGCAGTAACTCGGTGGCTTACCTACTCGTGCTCTTCATACTCCAGCGAGGTATTTTAAAGAAATTTGATCAGGTTAGGCATTCTGTCGTATAATTTGTTATTTTCCGTCCTAACTGAAGATTTCGAGGGCACGATCACTGTTGGATGTGTCAAACCTGTGACCGGGTTCACCCGTTGTTCCCTGATTCCATGGCATATTCATACCACATAATGTCTGGGGTTTCTGCTACCAAGGTGTTTATTACACTTTCTTTTGTTCCTGATCGGTTGTCCCACACTACTTATGTAAAAAAAAATAAGAGAAGCCTTACTCTTGTTGCAGCCTAAGACATGAGTTTAACCTCATCTTGAAATGCTACTTCGCATAATGTGGGGACTTCTGGGCCTTTGGCGGACTGGTCCCCGTTAGTCTTTCTGGCATGGCTGGGACCTCAAGGAGCTGAGTTCTAGCCAGTTCAACACTATTGAAGACCAGCAGCCAAGACAACGTGGCACGTGAATGGCTACACCTACACCGCACTGCGTTTGAGTTAGCTATCGGGAAACTCATGATGGTGCAATGTTCATGGTTGTCACCGCACTCGTGAAAAAAACAGCTCTCTCGGTTCTCAAGTCGCAAAGATCTGAACTAACACATCCAGTCATTCCGATTGTCATCTTTGAACATGGTGGGTTCATGTAGCTATTTGATCACTGGATTGAGAGATTCCAGGACCTTTAGCAAAATGACAAAACGTAGGGCACACTTTATCCAATGTGCCACAGGTATTTGTGATGACATCATTGGAAACTCATCCTCTGTTGACCAAAGAGGGGTACGAATCGCCATCGTCCGTGTTTTACTAAACCTACTCTCTACCAACATGAGTATGTCGTCATTGCTGCTAAGAATGTGGATTAGTTCGGTTGTCCACTGATCTGCTTTTTATCTTTGCAATACATGGGTCATTATCTGAGGAAGTGAGCTCGTCCTTTACTGTTAAGTTTCGTTTGAGGTAGCTACCTAAAAATCGTCCCTGCTTCACTCCCAACACTCGGATAATATCCAGCCTAATTTGTTGAAGGGTCATGACTCATAAGTTGCTGAAAACTCTCCGGCAGCCGGTTTCGACCTGCCCGAGGCCAAACAAGTAGGGGAAGTCCCCGAGCTTCAGTCGAGCTGTAATTGAAGCCGATTTATGACGAAGAGCACTGTACGGCTGTTTTATCCTCCTTGAGTACCATCCATGGCGCTCATCGCTAGGAAAATTCCTGGAGCTCCTTGAGAAGCTTTTGTTGACTGTTGACGTTCAATATGGATAACACAGCAGCACGGTTTTTCTCGGACGAAACATCAACTGGAAATTCCCAAAAATGTTCACCGATGATCGATTAGTAGCCAAAAGGAAGAATAAGTTCACAAGACAAATGGAATTTTTACCCGGGAAGTCGTCAGCCCAGGAACCAGTAAGCCTTTGACCAAGCGATATGGATTCTGTGACTGAAAGATGAGTAACACTATATCCTGTCTAAGAATGAGTTGACCACATTGCTGACCAGCTGTTTGTGGCTGAATAGTCAAGTGTCCACACTCTAGAGAACCAGGAGGTTGCAATTTCCCTAGAAGAACATGGGGAGATGAGCCTTGCTGAATATTCCTCATAAGGATGGAAAAACTATACAGCGCTTCCCGGCTTAGACTGGCTTTACTTTCAGGACGTAGCCTCAATTGGAAATCCCAAACTCTCTTCAAACCACCAGCAATCACAAGTTAGTTTTTAAACGATTGCACTTCGCGAGTTGTGTCCAGTTCGAATGAAGTAGAAGGTAAGGTTTCTAATCACCCTGGAACTGTGCTCACCTGATGAGCCCCAGGAAGGGTGAATCCGATCGTGGGCCGCCAAATAGTTTTAAGTAATCTTGTGAGTAGTGTGTTAAGTCTAGACGATGCGCTGCGATATCTCAGAAATCGTGACAACTCAAGCATGATGTTGCCGTTGTGCAACCTTCATTTGAAGAGATTCAGTTGGGATACAGAAAGGCCTCCCATCAAAGCCAAATGAGACTATTCCCCGCTAATTCCCAACTATCATACGAGTGAAAGGAAGAAGGCCTTCCCTGCGGAGTTGTTTATTAGAGAAACACCAACTGAACAGTTACAGACTATTGGACAGAGAGGCAAAACTCTCATATGTATATTGTTTACAAAACTGAACATCCATCTTCTCCTTAAACGCGTCTTCTTGAACTTACCTGGATATTAATTGACTGTTGCTCAAATGCAAGCAAATGCTACAAAGCTACTCGACAAATTCCGTAATAGAACTCTCATTCTGTTTCTAAAAACTAAATATCCATATTCTCCTTGAACGCGTCTTCCTGAGCTTTCCTTGACATTCATTGACTGTTACTCAAATCCAAGCAAATGCTGCAGAGCGACTCGACAAATTCCGTAATAGATCTGACTTTTCAAGAGACGTGAAGCGGATTTATGAGAAGGCCTACTACTCGCATGCCCCCATCAGTAGTATCCACCGATACACGAGTATCTTGTAGTTCTACACTCAAAAGATATAAAAGCTAACTGGTAGATTATACAGCCTCTGGAGCTATCGTTCTAACAATTGGCAGTAAACGGGTGTAGTGGTGCCAACAATCCGAGTAAACGTAACCCAGCTGGGCAATGACTGAAGAAAAGGGTGCACCAAGTTCCGACATACAAATTGGTGAGAAAACACTTTTCACTCCGTAAAAAACCAACGATTTAGGGGGGATCCGGGTACATGAGAATCGTTGCACCCAAGTGTTTTCTAATGAGAAACTCCTGTTGTTTGCCATTTGATCTGTTGCCTAAGTAGCCAGCTATGTTTTCTCGAGTCATATAAAAAAGAAGTCTTTTATTTTGAGCCCATATGCACCATGAAATTGCAGAAGCCGTGTATTCGATGGACACAATCTATCTCGAAGTTCCGTTGCAAAGGACGACCGCACACAATCCGCAGACAACGAACCTTGGAGAAACCATCATGCGGAAGAATATCGATTTTACTATTAGCTAGAAAGGACTCAGTCGAGTCTCCCGTTCGGTCAGTTTCAGTAAACATTCGACCGAAGTGCTTTTCAAGCCAAGGACTGATTACTTCACCTTCCGGGGACCTTATGAGCCCCAAACAAAGCGAAACTGGAAATGAGGGCTTGAGTAGTGGTCACATACTAATTATTTCAAAGTGTAACCACTTGCCTGTGTAATATGGTCGGATTCGTTTGTTTTTAAGTCGTTTCTAATATAAATGACACACACATGGGTTTCTGTCTATTAATGGACAATCATCGAGAAAGAACAGCGTGATTCTGGATAAAAGGTACAGAGCACTGGAAAACGCAGAGTTTCCCAAGTTCCAGCGCGGAATGGCGCGTTTTTTCGCGGCCTGTCCCTGCTTCTAAAGCAACGCGTTTATCCAATAATTTGCGAATTCTTAGTAGAATCTGACGCCTCACGCTGCAGCGTACCATTCAAAGGGGTTCCAATTTCAATCTATCTACAATCCTCTACCGGTCCGGTCAGTCAATTATGGCTGAGTTGCCAAAACAATCTGCGGCCATTTTGAAAAGATGCGCAACTCACTGCAATTCTCATTTTGTGTTTGTAAAAAATAAACAGACGTGTGCTCATGCATCGATCTGTGCGTGTATCCCCGAAAGAATGCTAGCTTCTATCGATTGATTGGTGACTTTTGTTTTTCTATTCACGCGGATGATGGCATGATGTGAGCCACGTGTGATTAGGATATCAGAGCACGCGTAGAAAGCGCGAATCAACACCAACAATAAAAGTCATTCTATTCTCCCCCATAACGTGTTGGATGCGAGGCTTTTATATGTACTGGTCGTATTGGGGGATTGAGAATCACAGTTGCTCTAGGATACTATTCACAACCTTTCAAGTAAGTTTCTATAGATGCATCGTTTGTCCTGCTTTTCAAGGTCATTTTGTGGCGTTAGCGTGACAGGAAATCGATGAGTCATAACGCCCGGCCTGCGCTGGTTTCACAATATAGCAGTTAGGATTGACATCGGACTAAATAGTGGAAAATGTTGGTAGCGTAGATGGTCGTTGGTTTATTCGCTGAGTCGGACAGTTTGATTGCAAACGTCTCATCACCAACTGAGGTGACATCATCAGGGCGTTTTTTAGGGAGCGTTGTGGAGCGATGTACACCAACCCATCGCTACGTTGACAGGCTCGTGAAAATTCATTTGAGGTTTCATGCTGCGAGTGAAGCCAATCTGTGCCAAAAATTATTGATCCGAGAGGGCCACGCAGGCTGACATACAGCTGACAGATGAGTGGACCCAGGCATCAAAAAGGAACAAAGTTGCTTGGTCTGGATACCACGTACATACAGGCGCTACATATCAGTCGGGATGGCTGTAATTTCAAAAGTAAGACGCTGTTATCGTTTCAGAAGAGCTTGGTAAACAATCGGTAGTTTTATTTGGGCAACGTCTCGGTTTTGACACAAAAGCTTCATCAGACCAAGTGAGCAGGTCACTAAATTGGCCAGGTTATAAGACAGACGGGGAACCAA